CCGCAGCAACAGCAGCAGCGACAGAACCCAGCAGCTGCAGCAGCAGCAGCAGCGACCGCGGCAGCTGCAGCAACAGCGGCGGCACCCCCCTCCACGGCCGCAGCAGCAGCTACAGGTGCTGCGACAACAGCACCCCGCAGCTGCCACAACAACAACACCCCCCTCTGGGAGCCAGCAGAACCCACGAGAAGACTCTGAGGTACCCTTGCTCCCTCAGCAGCAGCAGGGCAGAGGAAAGCAGAGGGGGGCCGCGGCGGAGTCGGCGGAGGCTGCGGAGGCCGCGGAGTATCGGGGACCCGAAGCGGCGGACGCCTCTGAAGGTGCGGAAACGGCGCAAGCCTTCATCTGTGTCTCTGGACTAGAACCGGGTGGGCAGGGGGTGGCCCCCGAAAGTGATGACAGCAGCCGCATCAGTCAGCTAAGCGAGATCCCGGAACTGCAGGGGCTCGCCTGCCACCCCGTGCCTGCCCCGCCCCCCCCTCCAAACAATCAGGCCGTCAGCAGTCCTCTGGGGGCGCCGCAGACCCGGCAGGGGGGCCGCGGACCAGCCGTCCAGGCGCAGGACAGCGAAGTCGTTCACTGGCTCGTCGGGAGAAACCCCTTCGCGCCTATTCGCCCCCCTTCCCCTGCCAGTGAACCCACTCTACTGGGCTGGTCAGCCCCGACTCTCTACTTATGGGAACCAGAACCAAGAAAACCAAACATGCCCAGAATGCATGACCAAATATTCGTTGGCCTAAGGGCCCGCGACAACGTAGCTGAAATCGCAAATCGGAAAACGTGTTTCCCAGTGACACATGACCAACATTATTGCTGAGCTGTGCGAGTTTTGGGGGCAGGCCGCACGCGCGCGCGCGCCATGCGCGTTAAAACTGCGCATCCATCCAACGCCTCACGCACCGCGCGCGAGTGCAAAAAACCCACGCGAGTATTAATGTCTCACGCCAGCCAGCCGCAATGCAATGCGATTCGCATGTCACGGGCGCCCGCTGCGCGGCTTATGCAGCGCGCGAGACTCCAAACGATCTTAGCGCCCTAGATGTTTTTGTTTCGAACCGTGCGCGGGGGAGGAGAGGGGGGGGAGGGGGTGGAGGAGGAGGGGGGGGAGGGAGAGGAGGGGCAGGAAGTGGGGGGGATGGGGAGGAGGGGGGGGGAGGAGGAGGAGGAGGAGGAGGAGGAGGGGGGGGAGGGAGGAGGAGGAGGAGGAGGAGGAGGAGCAGGAGGAGGAGGAGGCCTATTGCCCCCTGCCCCAAAGCGAGATGCGGCCGCGTCTCGCTTTGTGGCCCACTTGGGGTCCTCTTGGAGCCCTCTTGGCGGCCTCTTGGGGCCCTCGCCTTGCGCCCCTCGCGGTTGCCCTCGTCGAACTGCTTCTTGATGGCGGGCACCGCTTTCATGCCCGCATCCACTCCTCCTCCTTCTCCTCCTTCTCCTACCCCTCCTCCTCCTCCTCCTCCTCCTCCTCCTCCTCTTTCTCCTCCTCCTCTTCCTCCCCCCCCCAGGTGGTCCGGTGGTCACGTGGTCAGGTGGTAAGGTGGTCAGCTGGTAAGATGGTCAGGTGGTGTGGTGGTAAGGTGGTAAGGCGGTAAGGTGGCAAGGTGGTTCTAGGGCTCTGAGGGGGAAGGGGGGCAGTTTACTTTATCCTCTAGAACTCCCTGAAAAATGATGCCACGCCAATGGATATCTACACGCGTTTTCTCGTGTCCTTAAGCGTCCGTTTTCTCTTTGTTGGTCGCTGACGAGGGGCCGACAGGCCCTAAAATAGCTAAGGTGATAAGGTGGTAAGGTGGTAAGGTGGTAAGGTGGTCAGGTGGTCAGGTGGTCAGGTGGTCAGGTGGTCAAGTGGTCAGGTGGTCCGGTGGTCCGGCGGTCCGGCGGCCCGGTGGTCAGGTGGTCAGGTGGTCAGGAGGTCAGGTGGTAAGGTGGTGAGGTGGCAAGTTGGTCAGGTGGTAAGGTGGCAAGGCGGTAAGGTGGTAAGGTGGCAAGGTGGGCAGGTGGTCAAGGGGTGAGGTGCTAAGGTGGTAAGGTGGCCAGGTTGTCCGGCGGTGAGGTGGCGAGGTGGGCAGGTGGTCAAGGGGCGAGGTGTCAAGGAGGAGGAGACGGCAGAGGAGAGAGGAGGGGGAAAAGGAGGAGGAGGAGGAGGAGGAGGAGGAGGAGGAGGAGGGGGGGGAAGGAGGAGGAGGAGGAGGAGGAGGAGGAGGAGGAGGAGGAGGAGGAGGAGGAGGAGGAGAGGAGGAGGAGGAGGAGGAGGAGGAGGAGGAGGAGGGAGAGGAGGAGGAGGAAGGAGGAGGAGGAGGAGGAGGAGGAAGAGGACGAGGAGGAGGAGGAGGGGGAAGAGGAGGAGGAGGGAGGAGGAGGAGGAGGAGGAGGAGGAGGAGGAGGAGGAGGAGGAGGAGGAGGAGGAGGAGGAGGAGGAGGAGGAGGAGGAGGAGGAGGAGGAGGAGGAGGAGGAGGAGGAGGAGGAGGAGGAGGAGGAGGAGGAGGAGGACAGGAGGAGGAGGAGGAGGAGGACGGACAAGGGAGGAGGAGTGGCTCGAAACCGTGCACAAGCAAGCTGTTCTACGACGCCCCTGTGCAGCACGTCTGCACAGGGGGCTGTTGGGCGAGCCAGGGTCGGGAGAAACAGCAAGGACGTAAGCCGCCGTGGGCCTGAGAAGGGAAGAAGAGGATAATGAGGAAAGCGGGGGGCGGGACGGCAACGGGGAGAGGGGGGGAAGTGGAGAAGTACAAGGAGGGGTAGGGGCCTGTCTAACAGAGGGGGCTTGTGTAACAGAGGAGCGCGTCTAACAGAGGAGCGCGCCTAGCACCACTGAGATGTTTTTAATCAGCTCGGCGAGGGAGTCCGTCTAACAGAGGGGGGCTTGTGTAAAAAGAGGGGCGCGTCTAGCATCACTGATATGTTTCAATCAGCTGGGCGAGGGGGCCTGTCTAACACAGGGGCAAGTCTAGCAAAGGAGCGCGTCTAGCTTCACTGAGATTGTTTTAATCAGCTGGGCGAGGGGGCCGGTCTGACAGAGGGGCCTGTGCAAAGAGAAGCGCGTCTAGCACCGCTGACTTTTCTGTTTCATTGGCTTGGCGAGGGAGACTGTCTAACAGAGGAGGGCTGCGTAACGCAGGGGCGCGTCTAACAGAGGAGCGCGTCTAGCACCTCTGAGTTTTTGTTAATCTGCTCGGCGAGGGGGTCTGCCTAACAGAGGTGGCTCGTGTAACAGTGGAGCGCGTCTAGCACCGCAGAGGTCTGTCTAGTCAGCGTGGCGAGGGAGCCTGTCTAACAAAGGGGCGCGTCTAGCAAAAGGAACGCGTCTAGCACCACCAAACCTAAGAGGGGAAATCGCGTACCAATCACAAGATTGGTACGCTATTTCCCCTCTTAGGTTGCTCGCGCTTGCGTCGTCGTTTGCCCGACGACGCCAGACCGCCAGACCACCAGGCCACCAGACCACCAGGCCACCAGACCACCAGACTACCAGACCACCAGACCACCAGACCACCAGACCACCAGACCACCAGACCACCAGACCACCAGACCACCAGACCACCAGACCACCAGACCACCAGACCGCCAGGCCACCAGACCGCCAGACCACCAGACCACCAGACCACCAGACCACCAGAACACCAGACCACCAGATCACCAGACCGCCAGACCACCAGACCGCGAGACCACCAGACCACCAGACCACCAGACCACCAGACCACCAGACCACCAGACCATCAGACCGCCAGACCACCAGACCACCAGACCCCCAAACCACCAGACCACCAGACCACCAGACCACCAGACGTTCCAGAACGCCCAAGAGCACTGCCCACGAGAATATGTAGCGAAATCGGCGCCTCGGATTAGGGGCGTTGGCCCCGACCTCTGGGGGGCCCCTGGGAACGCTGCAGCCGAGGAGCCGAGGGGAAAATTTAACGCGAGAATGACTTGCCCTGCGGCGCCTCGGAACACGAGCCCTAGGGGCCCCCCGGGAACGTTGCAGCCGGCCGCCGCCGCCGCGCCGATGTCTGAAAACGCACGCGTTTTCAGACATCGCCCGCGCGCAATTGCTGGCGGCGAGGCAGCGGCGGCCAGCCAGGGGGGCGAGGAGGAGGTTGAGGAGGATGTGGGACGTTTTTCCTCAAACGACTTTGAAAAAACACGAGGGGAAGGAGGAGGGAGGGGAGGGCAGGAGGGGAGAGAGGGGCCCTGACCCCACCTTCCAAGGATGTCGGAGTCCCGGGCGCAGCCCCAAGGCAGCTCCAGGAATCCAAACGATCGCCGGGGGCCTCCGGGAAGCTGAAACGCGAAAAGTCCCGGGCAAGTCCCGGGGGTTAACCAACAATTCCCGAGGGGCCTTACCAATAAATATATGTCTTAAAACAAGACAAAACTTTTTTGGTCAGGCCCCGCTGGAATTCTTGGTCAAGCCTTGGGGGTCGCCGAGTCCCGGGCGAGTCCCGGGCCGCTGGGCGCCCCTCGGGGGCACCGGGGGCCACCGGGAGAGCACCGATGCCCTCCGGGAGGGCGCTTTCTTGATCATGCCGACTCGTCCTCTCATCCACCTCGTGTCGTCCGTCTTTTTTTCGTTGTTATTGCGTGCCCTCTCTCTCACATTCTATATCTCTCGCCTCTTCTTCGCGTTCTCTTTTTGCCCAGCCCCTCTTCATAATCACCCTATCTCTATCTTATTGTGTTGTTTCTCTTTCTCTCTCTCTCTCTCTCTCTCTCTCTCTCTCTCTCTCTACATATCTAATCTCTCGATATCCTCCTCCCTCCTCCCCCATCCCATCGCTCCTCCTCGCTCCTTCTCCTCCTCCTCCTCCCCCTTGTCCTTCTCCTCCTCCTCCTCCGCCTCCCCCTCCTCCTCCTGCCTTCTCCGTAGCCATTTTGGCTCAAGGTTTTGGTTTCCCAGCGGAAACAAGTGGATACCGCTAGTCCGCGGCTAGACCCCAGGTTCTTCATCGCTCCGCTGCGTGAGCTGCCCAGCGGCGCAGCATCCTCTGAGGCCCCACTCTGTGTCATGGGCAAGAAGCCAGCTCAGCAGTATGCGTGGTGCTCGTGCGGAGAGTGGACCTACAACTGGAGGATCGAGGAGCTTGGTGGCAAATGCCTGTTCTGCAAGAAGCAGCTTGAACCGTTCAAGCCCAAGAAGAAGTACCCGAAGTCCGATGGCGGAGGCACCCCGCCATGGAGAGAGCCGTCGGCAATATCGCTGCGAGACTTTCTTCCTGAAGAGCTTCGGGCTACGCCTGCCGCGCAAGCGTTGCAGGCCGAGATCGACAAGGCAGAGCAGGAGAAGCAGCAAAAGGCCACCAAGGACCCGTCCGCGGCGAAGCAGGCGATGCTCAGGGCGGATCGCATCGCGGAGCAGGAGGAGCAACGCCTCATCAAGACGGCCAACAGGCTCCTCGATGCTGAGCAGGCGCTGGAGGAGGCCAAGAGGGTGCACAACCTCCAGATCGAGACCTCCCTCGCCGCCGAGGCCGAGCGCACGAAGGCGCGCGACGACTACTGGCGCTTGGACCCGACTCCCAGGCGCCCTGAACCCAAGGATTCAGCTGCAGTGTTCTTTGAGGTGGACTCCGCCCTCTTCGAGAACATTGACGAGTACGAGGACTCTGTGCAGGAGTCACTGCGCCAGTGGCAGGCAGAAGTCGCCCGCCACCAGCAGGAGCTTCAGGCGGGCCAGAAACGCTTTGAGGAGCTCCTCAAGAGTATCAAGGCGGCCGTGGAGGAGCCCGCCAACAAGAAGAGACGCACCCCTGAGGGTGCAGTGCACGGGGCGGCGCCTGCGGCTCGTGCTGACCCGCCAGCCAAGCAGGCCCCACCGACGGCGCCAGCCCCGCCCATCGTGCCGCCTCCCGTCAAGGCGGCGCCTGCCAAGGTGCCAGCGTGCCCGCCAGCCAAAGGTGGAGGCACAGCGGCGCCTGCGGCACCGTCGGCGGCCGAGCGCACGGCCAACCTCATCACGGAGGAGCAGGCCACCGCTGCTCGTGAGGCCATCTCCCAGAAGGCCAAGGAGGCAGCGGCTGCGGCGAAGCAGACAGGGAAGCCCGCCACTCTCACCGCCGCCAAGGAGGGCCTCAGGCAGGCGGTCGGTCATCATCCCCCTGAAGCTTCTCATGCTGCTGCTGATGGCGCTGCTGCACCCAGCGGCCAGCCGTCGCGCGGGTGACGAGGCACAGGTGGCGTTGTTCTTCGGCAACGTCACCCAATGGGGGCCCACAGCCTCCAAGTACATTCACAATATTCGCAACCACTACAAGGTGGTCGCCCTAGCGGAGACCCGCATCGAGAAGGCGCGCATCCCCTTGGAGCGCGAGACACTACGGAAGGATGGATGGAAGTTGGCAGCCACACCAGCAGTGAAGAAGCATGAAGGCTACTCCGCTGGCGAATGGATATTGGCTCGTAATTTTGTCGCCACCACGACGATGGACAAGCTGCGCACGGACATGATCGCCATGGGACACAAAGACCCTTTCAGAGGTTTCGTTCCCATTATATGGCGCCTGCAATCTGGCAACTTGGTGGTAGTTTCAACGTACCTCTCACCAGGCATGGGGGTCCAGCGCAGGAATGCAGGTACCCTCAAGGCCTTGTCGGCCTTTCTTTTCAAGGTCAGAGACCCCTGGGTCGTCCTCGGAGACTGGAACATGTCGCCAGCGGCGTTCACCAACACTAAGTGGCCCAGCAAGTTGCAGGGGCACATCGCCGCGGCTGGCAACGTGGACTTTACCTGCGACCAGGGCACCAATGGCGGCATGTACGACTATGCATTAGTTAAGGATGGATACCAGGACTTTGTCAATATTCAGGCGGTACTGACAGTTCCTTGGAGGCCACATTCTGGACTGGAGATAACCATCGCGGGTTTCAGCAGCAAGTAGTGGCACCGCAGCATTGTGTTGGTCCCTACGTTGCCCGCTTACTCCAAGCCAAAGCTCCAGGCCCAGGCCGACAGCAAGCGTAGCAAGCAGAAGAGAAAGCAGACTCAACGGCGAGCTGAAGCACTCCCAGAACAGCTGCAGGATGCGTTTATTGAGATGAGTCATGGGCAGGACGGCCAAGAACCAACCCAACCACAGTTCCACATCCCTGAGGACAATTGGACTGTTGGACTCGTTCAGGCGGACGCTCTATTGACGGAGGGACTTGATTTCACCTCCCACCCCATCCCAGTCACTCAGGCGTTGGCTCGAGACGAGGAGGGACAGCACCAGATAGATTGGCATTATGCGAGATGGGTCACGGCCTTGGAGGAAACTATACTCTCTGTTGAGCCAGTGCCCCAGCGACATTGCACGGGCAGACGCAACGGCTTCCAACTCCAATGGGAAGTATCTAAGTCAACCCCAGGACGAGTTCATGTGGAAGATAAGCCTGCTGAGTTATGGGGCGTGATGTCGACCTTGGTCTCGCGCCTGCGCAAGCTGGTCGCCAAAGGTCTGGACCCAGCGCAGCAGAGTGATATACTCAGGCGGCTGAAAGAGATTGGTGCAGGCATTCTCAAGGGCACGCCACTGCAGTACTTCGGCAAGAACAGTGATGTTGATCGCGAAGAATGGACTGACATGTACAGCAGGCTTTGCAACGTGGACCAGTCGCAGATCCAGGCTGAGTACTCCGCAGTGATGGCCATGGAGAAGGCCAGTGAGGCCCCGCCGCCAGACCACTCCGACCTCGACCCAGGCATCCTGAAGCTCATTAGCCGCACTCCACACTTCCAGTGCTGGCCAGTCTCTGGCACTCCCTTCGCCCAGGGAGGTGCGGCTGCGGCATCTCCAGATATGTGTGTCCTGGGTGAGGCACGCGGGGTCGGGGGCTTCCCCCGCGGACCCACAAGTCCTACGGCGACGGCTACTCCTTCGTCGAAGCCTTCGTCTGAGTGTGCCCAGGTAGAGGCACGCGGGGTCGGGGGCCTTCCCCGCGGGCCCACAGGAACTCCAACGGCTGTTGCGCCTCAAGTTCTTCTGCCCCCCCAAGGTAGGGAAGGTTGTCATGGTGGGCGTCGTCCTGGCGAGCCTCAGGGAACACCTTGGGCGTCCATGCATGATGATGATGACCTGCCTGGCCAGCGTGAGGGAGAGGTGCGTGAAGGCTCTCCACAGATGCAGATGCGGCATAATCTGGATATGTGCACGCTGGAAGATGTGTACGGAGTCGGGGGCTGTCCCCGCGGACTCACAACTGCGACGGCTTCCTCGTCTACTTCGGCCTCATTGCTGCAGGGCGTTGACGGCAACAGCGGGATGGCTCGTCGCACTAATATGGATGATGAAGATGATACGCCCAAGTTCGCCTGGCCCCCCAAGGTAGGGAAGATTGTCATGGTGGGCGTCGTCCTGGCGAGCCTCAGGGAACACCTTGGGCGTCCATGCATGATGATGATGACCTGCCTGGCCAGCGTGAGGGAGAGGTGCGTGAAGGCTCTCCACAGATGCAGATGCGGCATAATCTGGATATGTGCACGCTGGAAGACGTGTGCGGAGTCGGGGGCTGTCCCCGCGGACTCACAACACCGACGGCTTCCTCGTCTACTTCGGCCTCATTGCTGCAGGTCGGCCCCCCCCGCAGAGCCCCTGGACCCACAATGCGAGCCCACCAACCCCGCAAGGGGCGGTAGTAAGGGAGCAGAGTGGGGACAGTTGGGAGGCCAGGCGAATGCCGTAGGGAGCGAGCCCGACCTGCGGCACAAGGACATCGACGGCAGCTGCGGGATGGTTCGTCGCACTAATATGGATGATGAAGATGACGTGTTCGCTCAGCCTGAACACGAGGAGGAATATGGCCCCCCTGGTGAGCTGGAACCAGCAGAAGTTCCACCTGAACTAGGCCCAGCACCACGGGCGTTGGCAACCCTGTCCCTAGACTTTTTGGACAAGGTTAATGACCGCACGGAGTCCATGGAGAGACGAGCTCAAGCACGGGCTTTTGCCGAGGGCCAACACAGTTTCATGGGGTGGATACGAGAGACGTGGTCCAAGAAGCTTGGGATCTTGCATCGTCATGTGAAGGGCCCCCAGGCTGATACCACGGAAGTTGAAGGCATGGCTGACCCAGCTCTCATCATGAACAGCCGCCACAAGTACTGGCAGAGTGTCTGGACGGACAAAGCTGACACCATGGAAGACATCGTCTACGAGATCGGTCAGGCGCTCAGGCTTGCGAAGGAGCAGGACATCGACCCCATCACACTAGAGGAGCTGGTGAATGCACTAGCTCGTATGTCGGCCAACAAGGCCATGGGGGTAGATAATATCAGCGTGAATGATATTGCCAGGCTACCCGTGTCAGGTAAGCAGATGCTAGTGGACTTCCTCAATTGTGCGGAATCTGTAGGCTCACGGCCGAGGCAGATCCATGCGACGATAGGGGCACTCGCTGCCAAGCCCAGAGGAGGAGATAGAGTATTGGGGCTCCTCCCCACCATGGGAAAGGTTTGGAGCCAGACTCGAGTCGGACCAGCTGCAGAATGGTCCAAGGGGCTCAGTGACTTCTGGGACACGGCGCTGGCGGGGTCCTCGGCCCTTCGGGCCGCCATGCTTCGATCTCTCCTCGACGAGGTGGGGATGGTCAACAAGAAGCATTTCCTGACCCTCCTCCTAGACCTGGAGAAGTTCTACGACAGTGTATCGCTGTGCATCCTTATGCGCACAGCCATCAAGGTGGGGTATCCTGCCATTGTGGTACTCATGGAGGTGCAGATGTGTATCGCCCCTAGGATCCTCAAGCTCAAGCAGTGGGCGAGTGACCTCCTGATCGTCGCCCGATCGCTAGTGGCAGGCAGCCCCAAGGGAGTTCAACTCGCCAAGGTCTTTCTCCACCCCATCCTAGAGAGAGTCCACAAGGTCGCCCCACAGACTATGCTGGCCACCTACATTGATGACACCGTGGCACGTGATGAGAATGATGATGAAGAGATCGTTATTGCCAATATGACGGAGGCTGCAGCTGAGTTCAGAGCGGCATTCTTGGAGTACAGGCTGGTTGTCTCGGACAAAACTGATCTCATCGCGTCGTCCAAGTCCTTGGGCCTCCGCATGGCCAGGATTACGAGGCGACTCGACATCCCAGTATCCTGCAAGCTGGCGGCCGCGGACCTGGGCGTTGACGTCAGTGCTGGGCGCAGGAGAGTAACGAAGAAGGCCAACCAACGTCTCGCAGCAGCCCGTCGGCGTCATGGTCGAGTTCTTCGCCTTCGTCGTCTCGGACCCAAAGTCCGCAGAGTCGGCAGTTCACTCTGGAGCACGGGAGTTTTACCACAGGGTTGCTACGGCCATCAAGTTCTTGGCACGGCTCCCAGCACGATGTTGGAGGTCAGGCGCCAGGCAGGGTCGGCCATTGCAGGTACCAAGCGAGGCAGATGTCTGACTTCGGTGCTGGAAGCGACCCTTGCTCAGCGGGACCCAGGACTCGAACTACCTCGTCAACTCTTGGAGGCATGGCTGCGTCTCTGGTTTGACAATCCACAATATCACAATCCCATTCGTTGGGCATGGTTGCGCATCCACAATGCTGTAGTGGTCAATGGCAAGGCTAGATGGCAGAGAGTTCGTGGCCCAGTTGCTGCAGTGATTGCCACTCTCGTCGATGCAGGTTGGGAATGCAAGCAGCCAGAAGTTTGGACTCGGACCATTGCTGGCATTGAGTGGATCTTCCCCAGAGTGGGCACACCTCAGTACCAGCAAGTCGATCTTCACGATATGCTACATGAATTTACGGCAGACCTCCGACACCAGCTCTGGAGGAAGGCCAGTCAATTTGAGGGAGCAGATGACCTACAACATGGAGCTGATTTCTCTCAGATCAAGCGCGAGCTTGATAGGTACGAACGCAAGCAGGACATGGAGAACTGGGGCCTCACCTTGGCAGTGGTGTCTGGAGGCCAGTGGACTCGTGAACGACAACGGGCACAGGGCTACGCCACGGAGCCGCTCTGCAGACGTTGTGGGCGGGAGCCTGAGACGCTCCTGCACCGAGTATGGCTGTGTCCAGCCAACTGTCATCATGATGCCTACAGGAAAAGTGATAGCCTCATCGCCCGTGCCGTGGCCTCCCATGAGAGCGAGCCCAGCCTTTGGCTCCGTGGGGTTCCCCCCGAGAAGCAGGTGGTGCCTGAGTTTTCGGAGGATTCTGTGCTTGAGAAAGGGCTGCTTCTTATGGGGAACCCCAGCGCTGCTGTTTCGGATCCCCTCCAGGGCCCCCTCATTGTGTTTGGAGACGGATCTGGAGGTGAGTACTCCAGTGATCCTCGCCGTCGGCG